CTGCCAGCTAACACAACTCCTCACACACACTGACAACTAGCACAACACCACACTCTGCCAGCTAACACAACTCCTCACACACAGAGCTACACCACGCTGATAACTAACACAACACACTGCACACTGACAGCTAACAAATCACTCCACATACACTACCAGCTAAAACATAACCACAACCCCACACACACTGCTACACGACACCTCTGCTAACACAACACCACACATACAATGCTGCTTCACACTGAGGGCGAAGTCCACTCGAGCACCCCACAGAGATCCCAGAGACCCTGCTTCAGCAGTGTGTCAGGGTAGTGTTACTTGACAACTGCAAGAGTATTTGTTTGAAGGAGAGTGTCAAACTTTACATCCTAAATACTCTTTCTCTATAATTTCATCCTATGCCTCTTAAATCTTAATGATCCTAAAGACGCCTACTGGGATGACTCCAAGTTACTTTGGGTATTTTGATGAATCTTTAGGGGCAATCGAGCACAACTTGCCTTTGAGACGAGAGAATATTCTGAGTGTTTCTTCGACCTCTGTACAGAAGGATGTCCGTTGTGTAACACAGATGTCAAACTCAAAAGGTGAAAAAGCAGCAGTTTGCCTGAGACTGGAAATACTGTATGTCTGGAGAGCTTAAGTTCAAATGGAGTGTCTCGGAGCTGTGAATACTAGTTCACAACACAGTGAAGGGCTTTGATTGTTATGCCACAGTATGACGGGGGTTTCAGTGATTGGAACTGAAGTGGATCTGGGATTTATCCAGAACACACCCAGCAACAACTTCTTGGTACGATGAGAAAAGGCAGAATGAAATCCATTATCCCAAAACCTAAATACTTTTCTACAATGCTCGAGGAATGTGAGGGATACCGTTTATAATACTAGTTTTTGTTGAATTAACATAATGTTTAAAACAGGCCTGATGCCGACTCAGACCTGTCGCCCTGTGCGGCCGAGACAGACATGTACGCCCCCTTGTGGCTATTTTTGAAAGTGTGTTATTGATTTTGATGTTCCAACACAGGTGAAAATATGTTCTTTGTGGAGAAGGTTCTGCATGTTTGTTTTTTTTGCACTGCAGGCCAAGGTTGGTATATTTTAACGATGCGAACGAGCACATTTGTCTTGACTGCACCACCGTCGTTTTAAAGAACAGCACCTGCGACACCCAAGACAGGCTCATCTGCAGGAGTAACCATCAAGTTCCCCGAAACAAACTTTAAATCGGTCAAGACTTTAGACTTCATTTGCTGCTTCTACAAAAAGCATAATGAACACATGCTTATAAAAAAAGAACATCACAGAAATATCAAGGCTGGTTTCCAATGTGGAGACATGCAACACATGAGTTATAGGAGAAAGCATGTCGGTTTTGAATAACATATACATTTATTATCTACTTGCATGTGCAGTACAGCATATAGAAATCTGCATTGCTGGAAAACACATTTTCATTCCTACATATATATATATAGTCAACAGAGAGCATTGCACATGATGCACTGATATGTGTACTGATTGAGGACTGGGGGACTGTGCTTCTGTTCAGACCAGAATGTCGCAGCACACAAACACATGCTGTCAATCTGAAGGCTGTCAGCTCTGCTCGGGTTCGAGCAGCCCATACGGGCCTCATTCCGGGGAGGTGATAAGGTCCTGAATTGGGCCAAAGTGACACTCGATCTGCTAGCTGAGAGACGGCAGACACTGAGAAACGCTTCAGTGCTTTTGGCGGCCCTTCTGGGACAGAATCCAGGAGCGATTGCACTGAGCCCTCAGCTGCCCGACAGACAATTCCAGAGGCAATCGTACTGCCAAGCAGGGGCTTATTGGGAAAACCCAGCACCTTAGAACACATTGGTGTGTTTTCGATCTGCATATCAATGCAATCAGAAAACGAGTCCATTATCAGAGCCTCTGCAATCTTAGTCTGGACTGTAACACTGCAGCACAAACCAGACAGAATAAAACAGGCAACTGCACTGCTTTACGGCCCTATTGCCTCCTGTGCTGGTCCAGCAAGGCCTCAGTCAGGTCACACTGGTGTCCTGACCCAGCAATGACGGACCTGACCCAGCATCCTGCGTCAGTCCCTGACTGCAGACCCAAGACTGCTGTCTTATACTGTATATAGCGACCAATTTAAAACTGGTACAATCTCTTTGTTCATACAGGACGGCCAGATATAGCGTTCAGGTGGCCCCTGATATAAATGAAGGTTAGGGACCAGAGCGTTGCTTACAGTGAAACAGGTAATAAAGGCGTGACATGGGTGATCACCTGTATTGGGTGTCTCCTGTCCTTCATCCTTGCCTCCTCATTAGCCCGCATGGCTTCACCTCCCTTCATATCAAGGTTCCCGCCACTGTCAGCGAAACCCGCTGGCACCTTGTTGCTTTAAAGATCCTTCATCTGTTTTGAATCAGGACATTTTTAAGAAAGTTGGGCGGGACAGCGGCGCAGTGGCCAGTATTGCTGCCTCGCAAGACTGGGGCCCCGGGGTGAGTACCTGGGGTGCTGTCTGGGTGGAGTCTGCATGTTCTCTGAAGTGCGTTTCCTCCAGGTGCTCCTGTTCCCTCCAGCAGTCCAGAGACGGGCAGGTGGGTTAAGTGGCTTCTGGGGAAACTGGCTCTGGTGGGAGTGGATGTGTGTGTGTTTGTGTCCGTGTGTGCCCCATGATGGACTTGTGGTGTCCCAAGCACAGTGTATCCTGCCTTGTGCCCATTCCTTGCTGGGATAGACTCTGGATCCCCCGCGGTCCTGTACTGGATAGGAGACGCATGGACAGATATTAAGCAGTAGGTCAGAAGCTAAGGGCTGGGGTCAGAACCCAAAGGGGTCAATTGGCGTACATTATGAGGAGCCGTGCTGGAACACAAAACTGAACGAGACAGTGGCTCAGGCCTCAGCTGTAAGAAACGCTTCAGAAACAGAAGCACCTGAGCGTTGGGGTGCTGACTGGACCTGACTGGGAAACTCTCCGAGGCTACTGGGGGGCCACAGCACCCCAAAACCCAGCTCTGCAGTTTTCACCAGGCCGGGCTGCACCAGGGTCTGCAGTCACGCTGAACCAGAGCAAAGCGCTTTCCTCTCGGACAGACTGGAAGACTTTTCTTGATGATCCCAGAGTCATCCTGTATCGTTGAACTGCAAGGGGCTGATCCCACTCATCTTTCATTTCCCAGAGCGCTGTGCAACGCCACCGGCTACGGTATCGGCACCCTGAGTGTGAAAATCACCACTGCACGATTCACGTATTCAATAAACACGAAAGAGGTCTCGTTGACAAATGAGGTACAGACCATATTATTGCACGCAACAAGGTTAGAGACAACTAGTGAACTGGGTGTCTAGGGCAGTGAATAAGATCACAGTGGCATTGCAAAGCAGAAATTGTAGTATTGCTCTAAATTTACACCTCTGTCCACTTAAATTTGAGACATGTTGTGTCTTGTCTGTGTGATTAGTTTGGTTCTTTCTGGGAGACGAAACGACGCTTTCATATTCATTTCACTGGGGATGCACAGCTCCGCCATGTGGGATACTGTGGCATTAAAACCCCTTTGTTTCATTAATTTGGGGGAAGGTTCATCACTGTAAGAGTTACAGCAGCTTGTTGTGATAACAAGATTTCCCTCAGTGAGCTGCGTTACACTTAATCCGAGGGGCCCTCCTACTGCTAGCTAACTAATTTAATTATTTTTTAATTCATTTTTTTTTACACCTAACAAGATTACAGCTAGCACTTGTTTCGCTCTTTTTTTGGACTTCCAAACATTTTCTGATGCTCTTTTACTCCAAATCAAAAGGCTGATCCGGAGATCCAATTTTACACAATTAAAAACGTTTCCTGTTTTCATGCACCTCAGGATTCATCATCATCGTCTTTGACGGGCTGATTGATCACAAATAGATCTTTGACGGGCTGCTCCGTCACAGATAGATCTTTGACGGGCTGCTCGATCACAGATAGATCTTTGACGGGCTGCTCGATCACAGATAGATCTTTGATGGGCTGGTCGATCACAGATAGATCTTTGACGGGCTGGTCGATCACAGATAGATCTTTGACAGGCTGCTCGATCACAGATAGATCTTTGACGGGCTGATCCATCACAGATAGATCTTTGATGGGCTGCTCGATCACAGATAGATCTTTGACGGGCTGATCCAACACGGATAGATCTTTGACAGGCTGCTCGAT